TCATTTATTGTTGTTGTTTTGTCATGGACTGCAACCCCATGGGCTGCAGCATGCCTGACTTCCCTTTCCTTCATGATCTCCTAGAATCTGCTCAAACTCATGTCCATTGAGTTGGTGATGCCATTCCACCATCTCATCTTCTGTCCTCCCCTTCTCCTGCCTTAAATCTTTCCCAGCATCAGGGTCTTTTCCAGTGAGTTGGCTCTTCACATCAGGTGACCAAAGTATTGGAGTTTCAGCTTCAGCATCAGTCCTTCCAATGAAAAGTTACAGATTTCTAGTTAAGAAAATCACCTTTCTTCTGGTTCCTGCTGAAAGTGCAGCATAGGAGTTAGGGTATGAACTTTGGAGTAGAGCCCTGAGTTTGGTTCCAGTTCCAAGCCTTACTAGCTGTGCAGTCTTCGGTAAGTTACCTCTCTGTGTCTCAGATTCCTCCCCTCTGAAATATGAATACCATCTCTACATACCTCACAGGGCTGATGTGCGTATGAGATGATTTCACCTATGAATGTACTCAAGTGCAGTGAGTCCTCAGTAAATATTAGCGGCTGTTCTTACTGCAGGGCAGGCCACGGGAGGAGTCAGCCTGTGGGTGGCACGACTACATAGGAGAGTAGGAGAAGGGGAGATATTGGAGTGGTTTAGATGCCAGGTAGTCGGAGCGAGAGACTAGCTGATAGCACTGAGGCTTCTCAGGCGCCAGATTCCCAAGATAATGCCCATCAGGGGCACAGTACAGACTCAGAGCTCCCTGAGGCACTGGAGTGGTGGCGGTCACTCTTAGTGTTGAATGACTCCGTGACTCATGCATATTAAACTCCTACAACAGCACTCAATAACTAACAGCTGCTATTGTTATTTAGCGAGGACCCAAGTCCTTACCTGGCTTTCCAGGTGGCTCAGTGATAAAGAATCCGCCTGCCAATTCAGGAGACAAGTTCCATCCCTGGGTCGGGAAGATCCCCTGGGGAAGGAAATGGCAACCCACTCCAGTATTCTTGCCTGGAGAATCCCATGGACAGAGGAGCCTGGCGGACTACAGTCCATGGGGTCGTAAAGAGTCGGACACAGCTGAGCAACTGATCACACAAGTCCTAACTTTCTCCATAAATTAAGTCCCATCCAGTATTCTAAATTCATATATAATTGTGTGTGTCCACGACAAGCTAGGAGGAAGGGAAAGTTGCATAGAAGCAGAGAAAAATATTTTTAGATGAAAAATGGTCATTAGATGGATATGTAAAATCATCTGCTGCCAAAAAGCCACTGAAATTGATGTCCATGCCACTATTCAGTCCCTAAAAGGTGAGCCATTTAAAAATGAGTTGACTCAGACAAGGCTTTTAGGAAGTCACTGTCTCCTTTCTGTGTTACTTGGAATGATGCTTCTAGCTTAGAAAGAAGGATCTGAAACCAGAGACACATGATGGAATTGTTAGGCAATTGGTGGTAGCATGTCACCTGGAGATCACTGGCATGACAAGGCCCAGCTGTTAATGCAAAAAATGCAATATCAAAATGTTTTCTCTCTCTCAAACTAAGGGAAACAGGCCTCAGGAAGCATAGGGGATTGGGTATAGGTTATCCACTTGTCACAAAGCTGCTATGGGAGCAAAAGGGTTCCACAGAAAGTGAGTGAAATTTGCTCAGTCATGTTCGACTCTTTGCAACCCCATGGACTGTATAGTCCATGAAATTCTCCAGGCCAGAATACTGGAGTGAGTAGCCTTTCCCTTCTCAAGGGCATCTTCCCAACCCAGAGACTGAACCCAGGTCTCCCTGCATTGCAGGTGGATTCTTTACCAGCTGAGCCACAAGGGAAGCCCAAGAATACTGGAGTGGGTAGCCTATCCCTTCTCCAGCAGATCTTCCTGACCTACAGAAAGCATCTTGGAATTAAAGTGTGGCTGCCAATCAATCTGTCCCTTCAATAGCTGTGTTTTGAGGGCCAGATCAGAAAAAGGATAAGGTATCCTTGGAAGCTACAAGTGGCCCCGTGCAGAGTATTACAGCCAGATTTGAAACTGGATTCAGCAGGTCCAAGACCTTTGCCACGAGTAGAATTTCTTCTGATTTTCACATCAACTCCAACCAGTTTGGCATGGAGCTGAGTCATGCGGCCACACATGCACAGGAGGTGTGCTGGGGAGAGGTTTGCCAGGGAGAGGCCTCGGGAACTGGAGCTGCTGGGTTAGTTTCAGCATGTTTGAGTTCTGTGATTCTGATAGCCTAAGAATGGAGTATGGAGTATGTATGTGCTCAGTCATGTCCGACTCTTTGAGACCCCATGGACTGTAGCCCATCAGATTCCTCTGTCAATGGGATTCTCCAGGCAAGAATACTAGAGTGGGTTGCCATTTCCTACTCCAGGGGAACCTTCCTGACCTAGGGCTCGAACCCACGTCTCCCACATCTCCTGCATCAGCAGGCAGATTCTTTACCACTGGAAGAATGGAATATTGTACAAATAAGCACATTTTCTAAGGGAGCTCTTACTTCAGAAGGGCAAGGGGCTGAGGGAGCTTGTTCACAGTGGGGAGCGGCTCTGTCCTCCTCAGACTCAGGTGCCTCTGTCCACTGTACCCGAGCCTCCTCAGGAGCACCCCTCCCTCCTAGGCTCCACTCTCAGGAGCCTTTCTACAGGGCCTGCAGCCAGTCTTCATCTGCCTGACTCGGGAGAGCCCAGCCATGTGGCTCCTTGGATGCTTGTTGTCCCAGCATGTATCTCTAAGCAAAGATGGGTGATGGTTGACAGTCCATCCAGAACTTCCAATCTGATTTGCTCTCTCTTTATCCTTGTATCCAACAAACACTGACTGGGAATTCTATCTTGCTCTTGGCATATTCTAGGTAGGGTGAATAACGTTTGTTTGAGGGTTTAACATCTATAGATGAGAAAGACATATATGGGAACCCACAGGCTGAGTTTCATCATGGTGAATTCCTATGTGACTGGAGTGTAGGATGGGTAAGGATCCCAGGGCATCCAGTCTCTAGGCTGTGACTCCAAGCAGGATCTGTAGACAGTATCATGTAGTGGTGAAGAGGCAACAAACATTGTAAGCAGGAAATCCATCCAATAAGGTGGCTCAACCAGGAGATGTTCTGTGAAGGAACTGTTTCAATTGAGTGGAATCAGGGCTCTGGGCCTGTGTGTCCTGCCTGGAGCCCTTTGCTGCCCTGACCCCCATTATAGAAATAGAAATATGTAAAATACTTGCCTTACTTACTTACTTACTGCTTTGAGGAGATGGAAATAAAAGAGCTTTGAAAAATGAAGAAATTCTTTAGAACAATAAGGTATTTAGGCAGGGGGGCCAACAGTAGTATTATTTTTAATATGTTTTCATTTCTCTCATTACCACATCCATTCTCCATGAAATTATTTTTTTAGGGAAAAGGAAAAGGGAGGAAGTGGCTGAGCCTGCCTAGCAGGAAATACATAAATACCTGTCTCGGGACCTTGGAAGAACAGGGCTTCCCTGACTCTGAAAAGGGACCTGAGAACAGCCTGGGTGGTGCAGGAAGTGGCAGGCCTGCCGCTCCGTCTGTCAGGGAACAGCAAGGTCTGCCCACAAACCACCAGCAGCGCCCAGAGGGGGCTTCCCACCCAGAGGCACCCTGCAGGCCAGCCTCAGGGTTTCCCCACAAGGGTGGCGTGCCAACTCCCCACCCCCTCGTGGATGGGAGTGGTTTCCAGGTGACTCACATGAATAAAATGCAGAAAATAAAGTTGAGGCAATGGGCATTATTCTAAGCAAGCCAAGTTCCAGACCCCATATTGTGTTCTAACTTATCTCAGGATCAGAAAAGGAAGTCAGAACCTGGCTTGTCCTTCTTTCTCTCACAATGAGAACATTTCTGCCCTTTTCTTTCTCTGTGAGAACAGCTGTTCCTGTGGCTTGACTTTAGAACTGAGCAAAATTATCACTCAAATTGAGGCCGCTGTTATTGCTGGGGAGACAGGATGGGCTGATGGCCATGAGCTGGCTTTAGAGGCAGATGGGTATTTTTATCCCAGCTCTATGATCTTGGGCAAATCACTTGACCTTCAGGACCCAGCTCCTCTGCCTAAAAAAAAAAAAAAAAAAAAAATGAAGATAGTAATGGTACCTGCTTCATGAAGATTAAATGAATAAATTTGTGCCAAGTGCTTAGAACAGTTCCTGGAGAAAAGAAGCCCTTAAAGCAAATATAGCTAATAGTGTTTTAACAATAACACTGTTGGTGCATATTACCTTATCACCTCCCCTCACCAGCTTTTTTCTTGTAACATGTATAACCTAGCATGTGTCCTGTGTATGTGGTATTGCCCTGTAAAGTTTATCATTCACACAGAACCTTATTGCCTCGTCACTGTGTCTTCCACCCCTCTCCTTAATTAAAAGCCTCCCTCTTCTGTCCCACGTCCTCCCTGCTTCCCTGTCTCTGCCTGGGCAGATCAACAGCCCTCTCCCCTCCCAGACACTTTGTCCTCAGGGCCTCTCACAAGGTGGGGAGAGCTGCTTATTCCAGAGTGCCACGAGAGACCACAGGCTCCTAGGAAGACGTGGGTTCTTACCCCGCTCTGGCACTGGTTCTTCACCACCCTTGGGATCAGTCTTACCAGTTTATATGAATGGCACTAGCACTCACTTCAGAGGGGTAGGGGAGGCTGGAAGGTACAGTGCCAGGCAGATAGGAGGCACTTGGAGGTGACTAAGAGCACAAGATGTGGAATAGATGCTCGTTGTGTGACCCTGAGCGGCTTGCTTCAACTCTGTAAACACAAGCTTTCTTTGTTCCCTGGCGATTATAGTAGCCCCTCCCTCTCAGGATCCTTGTGCGGGTGTTGGAAGCGCTCAGCAGGAAGCATTCCCCAAGGGTTAACCTTTATCCTATTAACAACTGAAGGCTCTGCCAGGTGGGATGTCTGGGGTGGTGGTGGTGGAGGCCAGGCTGGCAGCGCTGGTGCTGGGAGAGAGCGTGACTGGTCAGCATCTTCTGTCCTCTCCCCACAGGGCTGTATGTGCTGGTTGGAGCAGGGGCCCTGATGATGGCCGTGGGCTTCTTCGGGTGCTGTGGGGCCACGAGGGAGTCGCAGTGTGTTCTCGGATCTGTAAGTGGGGAGAGATGGGGAGGGACTTGGCCTGGAGCTGGGCATTATCTTTGTCCCTATGTCTATGGAAAGCTTGAAAAAAAAAAATTAGTTCATTAGTGTGAAGATGTTTGGGGAGGAAAAGTGCCTGATGATACCTCACAGCGACTGAGGCAGCTACAAGATTCCTGTAGTCAGGGAAGCACTGTTATCTACAAGAAAAGTACTGCTCTTTGAGATCAATAATTTAAGCAAACATCCCTCTTGTGGTTTGTTTTAACAAGCAGCCTCTGTTTAAAAAAAAAAAAAAGGAAAAACTGCAGTTAACTGCTATCCATCCAATGCCAGTGTGACCAGAGGAAAAAGAGGCGCAGGAAGGAAGTTTTTGTATTTCTCCACGAGGCATCAGAAACAGCAGGTTTATTAGGCAGCCTCTCCTTGCTCTCTGCAATCTTTGATGTTTGAACTGTGGCCACTTCTCCTGATCTCCTGCCATGTAAGGTTTCTAACTCACTTCCTCAGTTCTCCACTCTTTCTTTTTCCCCTGTTGTGGAGCATCTTGTGTCTTGTTTATCACTGAACTTAGTTTAATCAGAGCACACCCATGAGATCAGAGCAGAAATCTGTCCAGAAGAACACCCTTCACCTCCACCCCCTCCTCCCCAGAGAATCCATCTAGAGCATCCAGTTTCAGGTCACCTCCTCCCCAAATCCAACACTTCCAGTCACTCTCTATCTCCTGGTCTTATTTTATATCTTTATAGAACCTCTTTTGTTCATCAAGCAGTCACTGAACATATGGGTGCCAGGCACTGGTGGAATTTCTTTATCACTCTGAAATTATCTTACTCTTCTATTGCTTACTCATTCATCATTTCCTCCTCTTTCTATTATTAATATTACGTCCAGAAGAGCAGAGACACTGAGATCTTATCTTATTCACCACTGTATACCCAGTGCCCAGGGCAGTTCCTGGCCCAGAGCAAATGCTCAATAAATGATTGCTGAATGAATTACTGAGTGAACAAACAGCAAGTGGACTAAGGGATCAGATGCTTCCTTCTGTAATATTTCTGTTCAAACTAATAACCTTGTTTTTCAAATGGAATTATAATTAAATAGGTTAAATAAATTGAAAAGGTTATTGAATTAATGAAGTTAGTATTTTCTCTCCTTTACAGTTTTTTACCTGCCTATTGGTGATATTTGCTGCTGAAATAACCACTGGAGTATTTGCTTTCATAGGCAAGGATGTAGTAAGTAAATGTCACTTATAAATGTTCTTTAATGATGGTTAAAGTGTTCTCTTTATGACAAAGGATATGAGAATATTGACAACCACAGTGATATTCCAAAGCCAAATAACCCCCACAATTATCTTTTATGCAGAATTTTTAACCTAGAAACGTGGTGCAGGCTTAAGCATGTGGGTGTGTGTGTGTGTGTGTGTGCGCGCATACATGTAAGTGCACATATATTCCTGGGGAGGTAGTTAATTGCTTTCATTAGATACACAAAGGAATCTATGGGTTTTTGTAACCTAAGGATCTCTAATTTAAGGTGATCCCATTTGGAATGTGGGAGGAGCTAGATTACAGGTGTGAGAAGTTGGGATGGGGAAGAACACACATTCACATCCCTGTTTGCCTGTCCTTTGTTCTTAGGGTTTGGCCTGGGCAGAGGCCAGGTCAACCTCAAAGACTACAGTCTGCCGTCTGGGTGGCCATGAAGCCAGTTTAGATTTGTGCTCAAACTGTAAGTGTGCAGGATAAGTTATCAGAAGAACCCACAGACAAAGGGAACTTTTTAGGCTTAAACATGCAAAGAGGAGTGAAATGGAAGAGGAGGAAGAATGGAATCCTAAGTTTTGCTGTATTTCATGTAAATTCACATGCTATCAATTCTGTTTATGAATTTATTTTAGATTTTTAAAATGGTAAATATGTAGAATGAGTAAATATCACCTCCTCTGGAATTTTTCCGAAGTTGTTGTTGTTCAGTTGCTAAGTCATGTCTGACTCTTTGGGACCCCATGGACTGTAGCACGCCACGCTCCTCTGTCCTTCACCACCTCCTGGAGTTTACCCAAATTCCTTTAACCTCAAATATGTAGGTTAGAGGAATTGGATCTTATGACTTCTTGAGAGCCTATGGATTTGGGGGTCACATGCTGTTACACTAGAAAAAGCATTCTCTGCATTTTCTATGGTATTTAAATGCTGAAGCAGTTTTCCTTGGTCATGAACACCTTTTAAACCATGTCATGAAAAGATTTGAGTACTTGTTCCAAGGGAATCCAAAGAATGCATAGGTTTCTACCCTGGCTGTGCATCAGAATCACCTGGGTGGGGCCCAGGAACCTGGGGTTCAGTTTTTGCTGAGGTCCATTCAGGGCTGAGAACCTCCACTCTAAGAAATCTTCCCATTCTGTGAAAATTATTTTTGGTTAGGCTATCCTTCCATCAGAAGCATCTTAGAAATTCCAGAACCTGCAATCTGGTCCATATATGCAGAATTACCCTCAAGTCCAAATAAACACATGGAAAGGCCATATTCTTGAAAGATGGGGAAGAGGGATTTTTTCTTGATGAAAGGAGAGCATCTGAAACTTCCCACTCATGTCCCTTTGTTTTCCTGATATTTTTTTCAGGCAATACGACATGTTCAGACCATGTATGAAGAAGCTTATAATGATTACCTTAGAGACAAGGAAAAGGGAAATGGGACTCTCATCACCTTCCACTCAACGGTAAGTGACTTTACTTCTTCCTTCAGATTTCATCTTCTAAAGATTATTGAGTCACCGACTCAATGGACATGAGTTTGAGCAAACTCAGAGAGATAGTGAAAGATAGGGAAGCCTGGCATGCTGCAGGCATGGGGGTCACAAACAGTTGGACATGACTGAGTGACTGAACAGCAACAAATACTATGCACAAGCTAGGTTCTCTCTAATCACTTAAATTAAAAATAAGAATAAATTGAGTGAAGCCAGGCAGCAGCATTGTATTTCTGCCTTCGTGGGAGTCACCGTTTGCATTATGTGTAGAATCTAGAAGAGAAAAAGGTCTAACACAGAGTTGACAAGAGGAAGTCTGGACATGCACCGAGAGACAAAGCTGCCCGAGTAAATGCCAGCTTCGGTCAAGAGTGGTCCTGCAGTGTAACAGGAACCACCATGACCCTCACGTCAGAAAAGCTTATCTCTAGCTGCTACTCTGCCGCAGAACAGCTTCATGACTTGGAGCAAGTTCCTTGCCTCCCTGATCCTCACTCAGCCCCCAGTTGTGAGCCAAAGGGGTACGTGAGAGAGCATGTGCAGCTTCTCCCAGGACGTCCTGTGGGAACGTGCTGTCTGGGCAGTACTCTTCAGCTACCAGCGGTTAATCGAGAAAGACTTCCGGGGGAGATGGGCCAGGCCAATGGTGTCCTGATTTCTCAAGCACTGTGATACAGAGAAGCAGCAATGAACTCCTGGCCAAGTGTTTTCAGGTAGCCCAGTTCTTGTCTGTCACAGGTCTGTCCTGGAAGTTGCCAACCATTTATCCTGTTCAGCCAGTCACCCCGAGGACGTCAAACAGCACACAGGTTCCTTTGTCTTTGAAGGGCAGTCCTAAGGAAGGATACCTGTTGACTGGCCAGTCTTTTAGTCCCTGGGGTTCCCTGTGGTCACTTCTCCTCTCTATTCCAGGCTCTCTGCAGTTAATGAGCCTTTCCTGAAGCTCTAAAAACATTAGCTACTCAGCAAACCCGAAACGAAAAATCTAAAGACCCAACTCCTGTCTAAAAACAGCAGTTTACACAGGCACTGTCAGCTTCTTACCTTGTTTGGATTGCCTTCAGTCACCTCTTGTCATAAAAGGTGGACACTTTGGTGGAGTCATTTTTCTGCTTTGCCAGCATGACCATATGACCACACTCTCCCCAGAATGGCTGTTGGGTTGCAATGTCAGGCAACAAAGATGTTTTGTGGCCTCAGCAATCCCAGTGCTTTACAGAGAGACGCAGACTTGTAACTGCTACTTCTTCCTCTGTGCCCTCCCATTACCTTCCCTAAAAGCTCTTTTCTGACTTTCTAGTTTCAGTGCTGTGGAAAGGAAAGCTCTGAACAGGTCCAACCCACCTGCCCAAAGGAGCTCCTAGGACACAAGGTAAGCTTCTCTACCAGATTCCTATCCTGCCTGTGGTGTTAAGATGGTTCTTGCCCTCAGGATGGAGGGTGTGATTCTAGGAGGCCCTTTCACAGTGGCTTCTAGCCTCAGTTTTATTCTGTATAGAACAAGTGAAGCAATACTGAGTCCCAGTCTCCTGCTACCCTGGGGAATAATGGTGTGCTGACTTGCCGGTGATAAGGCAAATAGAGTGGCATTTGTTAAGTTCACCAAGGCCAGGGGTGTGCACTCTGAGAATGTTGCCCCATACCCTTCCGTGGGTGTCATGGCACTGATATATGCTTCCTTTATTAAATGCTACATAACAGGCACTATGCCAGGTTCTGAAAACTCTAAGATGGAAAACAGATGGTCCGTGTCTCAGTGGCCTCACAGACTAGTCAAGGGAGCTGGTGCAGTGCAGAGTACAGTATCTGGCCAGCATACAGTGGAGACACAGTGGATTCAGGAAAGCTTGACCAAGGATGGGATTCTTGAGCCAAGTTTGAACAAGGGGAGGTCATTCCAGGTCCTGAAAGTAGCAGGAACAGAACACATGACAGTATGAAATTCCAGGACTGCAGGAGCATAGGGAGCCCAGAGGGAATGGCAAGGGACACTTTTGGAAAGGCTGGCAAAGGCGTGATTTTGTACCTGGAACTTGAGGGAAGCCATTGCTTTTAGTAGAGGATGAACATAATCGGTTTCGCATTGTAGAAAGAGCACTCAGGCGACTGGGAGTGTGACTGGTAGAACAGAAGGCTGGAGAGCCATGGAGGGAGGCCATGAGGTGACACCTGTTTTCACCCTGGTAAGAGAGGATGAAGGCTTAGAGCAAGTTACAGACAGTGGGGAGGGAGAGGAAGCGACAGACTCAGAGATGTCCAGGGGTAGAATCCACAGCCCTAGGTGACTGACTAGATGTGGGTAGGGAGTAAAAGGGAAGAAGCTAAGACTTTGGACTCCTGCTGGGTAGACAGAGACTCACTCACTAAGAGAGGTGAAACAGAGGGAAAGGAGCAATTGACAGCTTCAGTTTCAGTTAACTTTGCACACTAGGTACCTGTGAAATTTACAGGTAATCTGAGATGAAGACACAGGTATCAGAATCCAGCAAGCTGGTGATAGCTAAAGCCTAGGAGTGGATGGAAATGCCCAGGGGAGCATGTAGAATAAGGAAGGAGGTTGGCTAAAGTACTATCATTTAAGGGGTAAAGTGAGGACAAAGTGGCCTTCCCTGGTGGCTCAGTGGTAAAGAATCTGCCTGAAATGCAGGAGACATGGGAGACGTGGGTTTGATCCTAGGGTCAGGAAGATCCCCTGGAGAAAGAAATGGAACCACTCCAGTATTCTTGCCTGGAAAATTCCATGGATAGAGCAGCCTGGTGGGCTATACAGTCCATGGAATCACAAAGAGTTGAACACGACTCAGTGACTGAGCATGCACACTTATGAGGACAAGTAGCCAGAATGAGACTGTGTAGGAGGAGTCAGAATGAAGGAAAGTTCGAAGACAATGCTCCTGCAGAGTGAGGGAGGTGGTGGCTTGTCCATGAAGTCAAATGCTGAGGAGAGGACAAGGACATAAAGGCTGGAAATAATGTGTTAGGTTTGATGCTTAGAAGATCGCTAATGACATTTGCCATGGAGTTTTGGTGAAGCAGTTGGGAAAGCGCAGGAACAATGTGGGAAATAAGGAGGGAAGTATGAGAATGTTTCTAGAAGCATCTGTATCATTGTCCTCATAGTATCCTATCTCCTCACCTTACCTCTTAGTTTCTTTTTCATAGAAAGAAACTTTCTGTGAAAGAAAGGAGGGGACACGGGCAGAGCTGGAGGACACTATTAGAGGGGATTTCTGTTTTAGACTGCAGATCATGTGCATGGTGTTACATGAAGAGTGACAGTGTCAGTGGAGAAGGAGAGGCTGAATGTGTAGGAAGGAAGGAGATAAGTGGCAGTACAAGCTCCCAGAAGTGAGAGAATAAGATCCAGAGTCAGTAAAGGGGTTAACTTTCCACAGACAAGGGCAGTGACAAGAAGTAGTGTGCCTTGCTCACCTTGCATGCTCCCTGCAGAGAGTAGTACCTGGCACTGGATGAATGGGGTGTGTAAGTTTATAGGAGCAGGTGAGGAAGATCAGAAGAATTTCTATGGCTTGACTCCAGTAAGTAAAGGAGTCTTTATTTAGAGCAGTGGTTCTCAAACTTTTACCAGAATGCAATGTAATTATTTTTGTGAGTCCATGGCCTTCTCTAAACTACTAGCTCCCTGAGAGTGAAAGAAACCATGTCTTATTATCTCCAAATCCATCATGCCATTGCGGTGGCATAGCGTGTAAGGCAGATGCTGAGAAATGTTTGTTGAATGAATTAACCATGATATGATATGATAGGAGATGTGAGGAGAGTGGTAAGAGTTTCATATAGCTTATGCAAGTATCAGAGAGAGCTGATCATTGACAAGTAAAAGGACCTGGGCAGCCTAAGGACAAATTTGGGTTGCAAGAATACCTCTGTATTTAAGAGGACCAAACAGAAGTTGGAGAAAGTAATTTCAATTATTATACGAGTGAGCTATTCTGCCCCTGTGTCCAATATTCCCCCATCCATGAAGTTTCTTTGCCTGCCCTGCACAGTCTCTGTGGGACGCAGATGGAAGAATAAGGCCATCCATCTCAGCCACCCTGGAAGAAAACATTCCTCCAGCCCCCAGCACTTGGCTTTCCTTTGTTAAATTTGAACCTATACAGACTTTATAGCTTCTTACTTACATACCTACCACTAGGTGATGCCTACCTTGCATTGTGAATTGGACTAAGTATTTTTAAAAAGTATGTAAAATCATTTAAACTATAAATGGCAACCCAAAACAAGGGGCTATTATTCTGGGTGTATTTTACTTATTTTTTATTTGCTGAAAGAAAGGAGAGGCTGCAAATTTTTAAACGCCTCATGTTCCAGAATAGCTTCCCCCAGCCAGGTTTCAGGGCTTTGAAGCAGCCATTGGCCTAAATAGGAAAATTCCACCAAAAGGAGAGTATTATCCTTTTTCTCCCAACTACATTTTTTGATTTAGCAGACCCTAAAGGAGATTGTAAGTACCTAGGAAGAATGGTTTAAATATGACCAGAAGCTGACATAGGTCAACTCTCACAGGAATGGATTGGAACTGGATGATTCACACATACCATCAGTTGTTATTCCTGACCTTCTCTTTTCCAAAACAGAATTGCATTGATGAAATTGAGAGCATAATCAGTGTTAAGCTCCAGCTCATCGGAATTGTCGGTATTGGAATCGCAGGTCTCACGGTAAGAAAGTTCTAGAATGTACCTTCTCTGACCCCCTAAAAAGCCTTTGAACCTTTGCATCTTCTCTTCAAGTGTGATGTGGCAGTGTCTTTGGAGAGATTTCTCATAAAAGGCAAAGACTTTTTGACAGGATATCTAAGAACAAAGCTAATTAGATCCATCAATACTTAATTCTCTAAAAATATGATACAAATTTCCATTTTAAACAAATTATGACTTTGAGTTTATCATTGCAATAGCTTCCCATTTTAAGGCCATCAAGCTTAAACTAGACAAGTGATTTTTAATTCCGAGTCTCTTCCTTTGTTAGAAATTGAAGATAACATAGGTTAAACTCTCTCACCTATGATCTTCAGAGGCAGCACCGTGTAGTGATTAATAATGTGACCTCTGGTATCCCACTCCCTGGATTCAACTGCTAGCTCCACTACTTACAAGCCCTGGGGGTCACTGGAAGTTTTCTTAATTTCTCTATGTCTTAATTCCTTCATCTGCAGAATGGGGATCTTAATATATCAACCTCATAGAATTGTTGTGAAGATTAAGTGGGATAATAGATATAAAGAATAATTAGAAATTAATTCATATAAAGTGTCTGGAATGCAGCAGTCAATAAATGCTAGATCTACATGTAATGAGTATTCCCAAACCAGGACCCAGGCAAAACATACATAGAAGTCTGAATTGAAGCATAGTGCACCCATGCACTGGCAAGTAGCTCAGTACCTCTAAAGCCCAAAAGAAGAATGTACAAGAGTCTATAGGGTCAGAAAGCTATGGGAGGTGTAGGAAGAGATGACACTGGAATGGTTTAGGAGGGTCCACATAATTGAGTTCTTTGTGTTACTTTTTGATAGGTCGGGCTTTATCCTTTAAGGTAGAGGGGAGCCACCCAGGTTTGGAAGGACATGTAGTTCAATGTGGAGATAAAGTTGGAGGAAAGCAAGACTTAGGTAAGCCCCTAAAGAGGTGATTTCCACTGTCCAGGGGTTGAGTTCTAATGCTAGGATAGACTTGGGGCTTCCATGGGAGCTCAGCTGGTAAAGAATCCACCTGCAATGTGGGAGACCCTGGTTCGATTCCTGGGTTGGAAAGATCCCCTGGAGAAAAGAAAGGCTACCACTCCAATATTCTGGCCTGGAGAACTACCATGGACTGTGTAGTCCATGGGGTCGCAAGGAGTTGGACATGGCTGAGCTGCTTTCACTTTCACTTCAAGATAGACTTAGGCTTCCCAGGTGGCTCAGTGGTAAAGAATCTGCCTGCCAATGCAGGAGACACAGGATGTGTGGGTTCAATCCGTGGGTCAGGAAGATCCCTTGGAGGAAGAAATGGCAACCCACTCCAGTAGTTTTGCCTGGAAAATCCCATGGACAGAGGCCTGGTGGGCCATAGGGTCACAAAGAATCAGGCATGACTGAACAACTGAGCAGACGAGATAGACTTACCCTCTAGTCCTCCTTTGTAGGTTAATTCATGGTCTAAGCTAAGGCGAGGGCAATGGAATTGTGAGGAAGTTAATGAATTGGCAGTTCTCAGGGGACACACAGTCATCTTTGCTCCTTTCTTGTATTTAGAGCACAGAGGGCTGGGGCAATGGGTGAAAATACTATGCTGAGGACATCCCTATCTGGGGACCTCTCTCAGGCCCCTCCCCACCCACCCTGGGGCTAGCCTGATGACCAGTCTGTGGGTTCCCAAGGACAGTTCTGAGACAGAAGATTTGAAAAAGATCTGCATTAACAGAAGTATCAAATAGACCCTGCCAACAATTTTACAATCTCAAGTGCCCATTCTAAAAGTGGTCGCCCCTGACTAGCGACAGTGCCAGGGGGAGACTGAAGAAGCTTCTCTCTGAGGGTACAATGTGGCTTAAGTAGGGGTTGCATCCAGCCTTAACAACCATGGAAAAGGGGGAATGCCCTCTGTTGGCCATCTTGACTCAGCACCCCCAAAGTTCCTTCTTTTATTCTTTTCTTCATAAGGTAAGTTTTTTTGTGTAATCAGTTAACAAGATGGCCATTAGGTGTCTCCCCTGCCACACCCTGGTGCTGAATTCTGTCAGTCAGAAGCTTGGAGTCCCGAACCCGTTTATTCCCTTAAGTCTATCTTTTCCCTTCCAAAAACTGATAACATGTGCCTTTTTAAACCCAGCATTTATAGATCTTAGTCTGATGTAGGGTGAGATTGAAGAAAGCGTCAGAGTTATGATACTAATTTCTTTGAACAAACATTGGTAGCAGTTTATAAATATCACACCTACACATAGCATTTCACAGACTCTACAAAACTGTAGAAGTTATTGAGGACAAAAATGATTTTTTGGCATCCTTCTGTTCAAACCATTTAAGTAGCTATTGATTTTGCCAGATATTTAGCTTCTCAAAGAATTATCCAAGACATAGAAGATGTCAGTAATGCCATAGTTCAAACACCTCAGTTTATGCTTTGATGAAATTGAGTTAAATAATGATGCTTTATTAAGAATCATTTGCACTTAAAAATTAACTGGAAATGAAGAGATGGTCCACTTTTTGAATGAATCAGTGGCTTTTTTTTTTTTTTGCCATGCTACTTGGTATGCAGAATCTTAATCATAGTTCTCAGATCAGGGAATGAACCCACGCCCCCTGCAGTGGAAGCCTGGAGTATTAACCACTGGATTACCAGGAAAGTCCCAAGATGCTCCATTTTTTAATATGTGGTCAGTGTTGCAAAAATTCAAAGCTTTGGCAGCAATAGAAAACTATTTAGACCACAGGTGTATTTAAACAACAAATGGTTACAAACACATTTTCCAAAGTAAAAATAAAAATGAGATCTGGGGTTAACCTGAAATATAAAATTCCAAAACCAGTAGTGTATTAAGTCTTTTATAATTATTAAGAACAGTCCTATAAGCTAGAAATAGATGCCTTTTCTTAGAACAGAGTCTTGTTATTTTTAAAACAATAATAAAATAGGAATGTATTTTAAGCAGTTAATGGAAGTCTTTAACCAGTAGCCATAATTGTGTATCACACATAAAAGTGCCACTTATAACCAGTAATTCTTGGTTATAATTACTTGTTAACTTGAGTTAAACATACAAGCAGTTTGCTGGCCTTTTTTAAAAATCAATTTTCATCATTTGAAAGTCATTAACAAGTGGTTTCTTCTGTTTCAGATCTTTGGCATGGTATTCAGCATGGTCCTTTGCTGTGCAATACGAAATTCACGAGATGTGATATGAAGCTACTTCTACATGAAAAGTGTAATCTAGAGTATACAAATGTCACAGGGGCTGTCTCCTGGCTCATTTTTAATATTCAAAGGACATTAGGATCTAAAATAATTTGCTGTTAATTGTACATTTGCACATGTATGTGTGTTTGGCTCAAGACTGGTTTTCACCCTTAATGAATGCCTATGTATGCTGACTGAGAGCATGTTCATGTGTGATCTGCGTGTTTCTGGTATATGCATAATGAAATCTGGTTGCTGGGAATTCCTGAATCTTGGTATGTGAGCATATTTAACTCTAAGAAAAAGATCAAAAAGTTTTGAAAAAAGAAACTTGGTTATTTAGAAGAAAAATGATAGTAGGTCAGTTTCTCAGACTCTAGCCATAGGAAGTAAGATACAGATAATTCAGGGATTTCTAACTTATGGAAGCAATAAGCCACAGAAATTGAGAGATCATGGTGCAATGGTAAAAGCAACTGTGTTTGGCTTAGGTGTAAGGGTTTCCTGGGATTTTTTTTTAATATATGTAATCTCTCCAGAATTTAGAATTAAATACACCTGTAAAACTAAATATAGCATGGAAAATCTAATTTGAATAAGTCATACTTTCCTAGTATTTAAAAAAAAAAAAAACCTCACTCTGGAAAGAGTGTCACACAGACAATCACATGCTCTATAAAACCGTGTTTTCAGGACTAAAAGGAAAATCTTTTAACAACGTTTTAAGGAAATATTTTTGTTCTTATATAAAGACAGTTAAATATTGCTTTATTACTTTCTGTTTCTGACTCTTCTCTGAATCACTGCCACCCTCACATCCACAAAAGGGCTTTGATCTCAAACTTTTCTGTGTTTCTTCAGATAGAAGCATAGAAAGACTAAAGCAAGAGATCTGGCAGTTGCAACTTGTGGGAAAGAAAATTTTTACTGGCACTGTATCTTTGAAATACCTCATAACTTGAGTTTACATATTTTCCTAATTTTTTGTATTTTTCTTATTTATTCACGTAGAGAATTCTTCTTTATAGATTAAGAACTACAGGTTTTCACCTCTTAAAATATATTCTATCAGAGCATCCTTAGCTAAACCAAAATAAAGGAAAACATCCTCTCCTAGTTTTATGCACACAACAGAGACAAGCTAAGGAAATACAAATACACACACAACAGAAACATGTTCCTTCTGTGCAAGTCTCTTCATAAAAATAAAATGTTTGCGTTCTTTATGGTCTTGATGCTTCATTGCAATCCCAAATTTATAATCTAAATTGACATGTATGTCCATTTTTAACACTTTGCTGCATCTAGTAAATCATAGATTTTTTTAAATTTACATTTTAAAAGGCCACACAAAAATGAAAGTATGGGGGACTTTTGAAACCCCCAAAAAAGTTTATACTTGTGTGAGAACACAAGTCTTTGGGTCTGCACTAAAGGAAAGTGTACACTTCAAGAAACTTTCACAAAACATTTTGCTGAAAAGGCCTATCCATTTGAAATAATCTCATTCCCTTAGAGAACTGCGTTTCTCCTGCCATACTTGCTACTGCTAATAATCATGGAGGAAGATTTCTAGAAAAAAAGTCCAGTTGGAGGCAAGCTGAAAATTTAATTGTGCATGGTTACTTTGCTGTGTCCATAGGTAACAAAAAGATTATTTTAAGAAAATCACTTCATGAAATAGATGTTTCTATGCTGGTAGTTGAGAAATAGAGCTCTGAAAGTAAAGAACAAGCAGTCCATCTCTCTTGGTGGCTTTACTTCATTTGTCTGCCTAAAGACAGGAAACAAGCCTCAGGGTATACTTAGGTTTCTTTCAGCTCAGATTCCTCTGGGATTCAACAAAAGTGAGTTTCATTCTATATCTGAATTAACCTTAAAGAAGTTTAGTTAAAAGTGGAAGGGTAGAGATTCGTTTCATATATGATTAAAGTGCACCTTTTGGGAGTAATTTTTCTAAAATATGTGCCATGAGTAAAAGTAGAGAATTTAACCTCTGGGTGAGAGTAGACTTATATACGTATATATCTTGACTCTCTCTCTATATATAGAATATATATGTATAACCTGAATATATGTATACATGTATATATATAAACACATGTATACATATATGTGTACAAATATATATGCACATATATAAGTTTTTGGTTATATTTGTTTACCTGAACTAATATGAGATCAGACCCAAACATTTTCTTAAATGTATGGTACCCAGACACTGAATCAAAGCATATTGATGAAATATTTTAAGTTATTTCAAATTAAATTTTCTATGTACTGCAATTGCTTGTTTGATTTATCTTAAAATTCCATTATATATTTATCCACACCTTCATACAACTTATCTAAACATCTAACTATTAATATCAATCAACCTAAACAATTGATGAAAAAAGGAAAGAGTAGTAACCTTTCCATAGTGTTATTAGTGGGAACTATGGATCACAACAAACTGGAAAATTCTTAAAGAGATGGGAACACCAGACCACCTTACCTGCCTCCTGAGATATCTGTATGCAGGTCAAGGAGCAACAATTAGAACTGGACATGGAACAACAGGCTGTTTCCAAATTGGGAAAGGAGTACGTCAAGGATGTATATTGTTGCCCTGCTTATTTAACTTATATACAGAGTACATCATGCTAAATGCCAGGCTGGATGAAGCACATTCTGGAATTGCCGGGAGAAATATCAATAACCTCAGATATGCAGATGACACTACCCTTATGGCAGAAAGTGAAGAAGAATTAAAGAGACTCTTGATGAAAGTGAAAGAGGAGAGTAAAACAATTGGCTTAAAACACAACATTCAAAAAAACTAAGATCATGGCATCCAGTCCCATCACTTCATGGCAAATAGATGGGGAGACAGTGGAAACAGTGGCTGTCTTTATTTTCTTGGGCTCCAAAATCACTGCAGATAGTGGCTATAGCCATGAAATTAAGACGCTTGCTCCTTGGAAGAAAAGCTATGACCAGCCTAGAGAGCATATTGAAAAGCAGAGATATTACTTTGCCAACAAAGTTCCATCTAGTCAAAGCTATGGTTTTTCCAGTAGTCATGTATGGATGTGAGAGTTGGACTATAAAGAAAGCTGAGCGCCAAAGAATTGATGCTTTTGAACTGTGGTGTTAGAGAAGACTCTTGAGAGTCCCTTAGACTGCAAGGAGATCCAACCAGTCCATCCTAAAGAAGATCAGTCCTGGGTGTGCATTGGAAGGACTGATGCTGAAGCTGAAACTCCAATACTTTGGCCACCTGATGCGAAGAGCTGACTCATTTGAAAAGACCCTGATGCTGGGAAAGACTGAAGGCAGGAGAAGAAGGAGACAACAGAGGATGAGATGGTTGGATGGTATCACCGACTTGATGAACATGAGTTTAAGAAAGCTCTGGGAATTGGTGATGGACAGGGAAACCTGGCGTGCTGCAGTCCATGGGGTTGCAAAAAGTTGGACACGTCTGAGTGACTGAATTAAACTGAACTGAAGTGGGAGCTGGACTTAAAAAAACATTCTCATAAAGTTATTGTATATAGTTCTATTTCAATTAATACTGTTTCACCCAAATTACATTTCTCTTCCCCAGAGTAGCTCCTTTATTATCCAAAATACAACCTATAAAACTGCACACTGCTCCCTTGTAATGCCCTTTGACCACCAGGCCCTTGATTTCAGCAACCCCATTTTCCCTACCCCTAGGAGGGAGCACTAACGGGCCTTTGAAGTTAGTTGCCTAACTACATCATCTTAGTTTGGGCTTATCAAAATCAAATTTGTGTCAAGGTATATTTTAAGACAGGCTTCCCTAGTGACTCAGCAGTAAAGAATCCGCCTGCAATGCAGGAGCCCCAGGAGACAGAGGCTCAATCCCTGAGTCAGGAAGATCCTCTGGAGGAGGGCATGGCAACACACTCCAGTATTCTTGCCTGAAGAATCAAGAGGAGCCTGGTGGACTACAATCCATAGGGTCGCAGGGAATCACAGGTGACTGACACGACATAGCATACACACACGTATATTTTAAGAGAGACAAAAGGTTTCTATCTTCTTTCAACATGACTCTTTTTTTCTATAAGATGTACCTGTGAGGTATTGCGTGTGGGTGTCCTTTGAAAGGTAAAAAGACTACACCAATGCAAAATGTTGTTATTAATCATTTTGTTGATATTCTCATTTTAACAAGGATGACTAAATACATTTCAGGAGTCCACTATTCAGATGGCTCTCTCCTGGGGACATGGAACACATGAGGAATAGAAGTAATATGTCCAGAATGCTACAAAGAAAAATCTATGCTGAGTTTTTAGCTCATATGCCAGTAACACTTCCAAAACTTTGATGTTGTTTTGTTTTTGTCCTGTATAACTTGTGATGGTTTTACTTATATTAAATAGAAGAAATTTAAATTAAATTAAAAGGTATAACTAGCAAAGTGTCTAGCATACCTAACATTGATAAATATTACCTATTGTTATTATGTTTATGAGTTTTGTTAATTATTAGGTTGGTATGAAAGTAATTGTGATTTCAGATGTGAGTTTTAAATCATTATAATTTGCCCAAACATATCTTTATTAATCAAAATAGGAACCATTACCATCAACACATTTTTGCCAATGAGAATTAAGTTTGTTTATTCCTGTAGTGTAAAAATCTGTGCTTCGGGATTCGACGAATTCTTGGAAAGCATTTTCTGCCTGCTGCTGGTTGTCAAGATGCTTGAAGAAGTAGTAGTCAGTTGGCAAGAGGTCAGGTAAATATAGCTGATGAGGCAGCCCAACTCATTCAACTTTTGAAGTGTTGGTTGTGTGACATGCGGTTGGGTGTTGTCATGGAGAAGAATTAGGCCCATTCTTTTGACCAATATCAGGTGCAGGCATTGTAGTTTTCAGTGCATCTCATCAATTTGCTAAGCATACTTTTCAGATGTAATAGTTTTGCTGGAACTCAGAAAGCTGTAGTGGATCAGATCTGCAGCACACCACCAATCAGGGACCATGA